GGTTGTCCATAGGTGTGTCCAAAATTGCCTATTACACATACATACATTTTTCTCTCTAATGCCTGCTACACAAATGAAAATGCAGTAGGCACTGCAGCCATTCCACCATCTAGTGAGCACAACCTCAGACATACTACTATGCAGTCATCTTACTTCTAGATTGACCCGGATGATTACATGTGACAACACCACAGATGACACCAGTCACTTTTTCTTCATTCATTCATTAGGAAGGTGTTCCAGGCATGTCCCACCGGGAGGAGGCCCCGGGGAAGACCCAGGACACGCTGGAGGGACTATGTCTCTTGGCTGGCCTGGGAACGCCTCAGCATTCCCCCGGAGAAGCTGGAGGAAGTGTCTGGAGAGAGGGAAGTCTGGGCATCTTTGCTTAGACTGCTGCCCCTGCGACCCGGTCCCGGATAAGGAGAAGAAAATGGATGGATGGATGGATGGAATTAAAAAGTAAACAAGAAGAGTTCATAATTAACTACTGTAACAGGATTAGTCAGTTAGGAGGATATTTATTCAGGATTTGCGGCTTATTTTCTGGCGCCAAACAGGGAAATTGCATGCGTTGATATTTATGTTACGGGCCCTGAGTGCCGGGGCTGCGTAGCAGTGAATTAGTGCAGCCTGGAAAACACAATGTGACATATGAACAGAACTCTCATGGTGTGCTGGCATTCACATCCTGACTGCATCTGTCGGCGGGGACAGAAGGTCCCTCCCCAAACCCATTCTGGGTGCAACACCAAGCGCACAAAGGTTCCGCTTTACCCTTTTCTGTTCTCCAACCACCAAATCCAGGACAGCAGGCACAAAACATCATAATGTTCTAAAAATATAAATGTGACACCCAAAATAAAACGTACATTCAATTGCCAGTTATGAAATAATAAATTAACTGCAAACAATGTGGTGACATATCTTTAGGTGCACCACATTTACTAAGGAGTTGCAGTGGCGTTTTGCAATGGAGAAACAGAAGAAATGTGGCACCACAGGGGTTTGCACATTTGGTCTCGGTGTAGTATGGCGTAGAACACTCTTTAGGTGTTCATGGTGTGCTCAGCCAAATCTAAACAAAGTAAACATGGCCTGTCTTGTGTCATTTTTGACTTATTTAATAAATATAATTATTATCCAAGCCTCTGATCTTTACCTAAGCTTAATCAAGTGCTTTGTGCCATTTAAACAAAAAACATCAGTCATATATAAGTTGCAACAAATTTTGGGAAAAGAAATTAAATATGTAAATGTTTTGATTCAATATTAATATGATTTGCAGATTGCGATTTTGCATATACAGTACAGTTCATTTATTTAAAAAAGTTTTATGTTGATTAAAATGATATTTTGGAAGGCTTTTCATTGCTCAAAATTAATTGCTCTTGTAAAATAAATTAGTAAATAAACAATTTTTAGGTGCAGTCTAAATTATCGGGCCATTCATGGACTGTGCAGTCCAAGTGGCCTGAAAACTTAAGAACTAAACTACAGTGAGAGCTTCTTCACTGCCTATACTCTAACTGTGCTCAGTTTACTCACTGAATGCGTGCTCAGACCTTATATGCACAGTTGGACAGGTTGTAACTTTGTAATAAATTAACTACAGTGTAAATTTATGAGAGGACACAAAAGGCGCACTGGTTGGAGATGATGTGGGCTTGAGGTGGACAACCAATAAATATAACATGATATTACCACACGAAATGTGTATGTGTGCCTCCATGTAAATATCAGACCTAATCTACCAAAATAGGTTTACGCTGATCAGGCCATTTTGTGATGAGCCACCTGATGGATGTGACACTGACATCAGGCAGAATAATTTTCCTGTTAACCGGCTCCAACGAGCCACCTGAACACTACCAGACACAAGATGGAAACTGGAGATGGAAAAGATGGAATTTGTAGAATTAGATGGTAGAGTGGATTGAACTCATGTTTGGAGTAAAATCAGGTATCCTACGCTGCAAAGCAAAAATTCTACAAGCAGTTACAGGCTAACTACTTGACATTTCATTTTGAAGAAGCAAGGCAGCCTTCAAATTCCAATTATTCCTGGAGTTTGCTTGTCAATGCAGATTTATTAAATTTCTCCTAACATCTTATCAGCAGCTCCATGCAAACAAAAGTAAGACTGTGAACAAGAGCTGAAATATTTAATTTAGCTCTAATATTTCCTTAAAAAAAAGAAAAGATAAACAGAAGTGGAATAAATGAAAAGTAATAAACTGAAAGTGAGGTGGAACTGTTCCATAGCAGGACTCACATTACATGTACTGCATTTGCAAATCCAAATTTGTTCTACCAGCATGAAAAATTATTTTTTAATTGCGTTACCACTTCATCTGCTTAGTGTTGTAGGTGGTATGTGTTGGTGTTGTACCACACACTACAGGAGATGCAGGTGAAAATTAGTTTTCCAACTCCGTGGGAGTGATTCAAGCAGTCGGAACCTGATGAACAAAGTAAAAGATTAAATCAATTCCTTCAGCTGTGCTGGATGATGCACTGTATATTCTGTAACACACTGTAATGTTTTGCAGAAGTCAGACAATGCTTGTAAGCAACTGCAGTGGAAAAGTGTTAAAACTAAAGGCATATGCATTATACCAGAAAAATGTTTAGATTGGCTTCAACTGGAAAACCCCAGCTTCTCCCAAGAAACACAACTGACTGTTGGTTATATTTACAATTTCTCAACATTTCAAACGGTTTCAAATGACCAGTTGTCTTGAAACTATTAATTTCAGAGTACAGTATGTTGAGGCTTATTTACCTTCAGCACCTGACCAGATGGCAAGGAATGTAAATGTAAACCTCAGGCTTCAAATAGCCTCTTGATGAATCTGTGGGTGGTGTTACACACACACTTTCTATGTTTGTGTTCAGTCTGTTTGCTCATAACACCTGATTGCATCAGCTGTCTGAGACCGTACAAAATTATAGCTCCCGTTAAGATCTCACTCAGCATTGGCTCTCGGTACAAAAGCAGTCGCAGAAAAACGTTTCCCCTCACAAGCAAGCCTCTGCCTGATAAGCAAGAGCTGATCTCTTTGCATGAAACCAAGCATTTTACTAATTTGAGTGGCTGCAGTGAAACAGAGTTCAAAGCAGAGCTGTGATTTGTGACTGCTTTCTCACACGAGAGGAGGCCCGTTCTGTCAACAGTAAGATGAGCCACTGATTGCATGGCTTGTTCTGCTCTCCACAGGCCTCTCAGATGGAGATGGAAAGTATTACTGGACAAAGGCCCTCTGAAAGTACATGAAGATTACTGAGCAGCACACATTAAGACAGACCACACAAATAACATTACTCACCTCCCAGGTAGCAGGAGGACACCAAGTGGGAATGAAGAGACAGCACAAACAGGCTTCATTTGTTCCCTGTCTCCAGATCTAAATTGGTATTATAAATTACAGTGTGTTTATAGTTTCTAAAATTATCACTGAATCTGCTGCTGTAGCAACAATGTAGCCTGAGATGTGCAGAACACATACAGTACAGCATGTCATTATATATTAATTACCATTATGTATTTATTACCTGACTACTTAAGTCAGGTAATAAATTAGTAAGCTTGCTAACTGTGGTAGTTTTTAACTACAATTTATGCTCTGACAGAGGAGATTACATAATGCTTAATTGTATAGCAAAGTTTATAAGCTACAAGATCATCCTTTACTTCAGGTTAGCACCAGTGTCTAAACTACGACACGGCTTTCGGGGAGCTCTATTTTCACCCCACTGTTTCATGGTTAGACTAAATGAGAGATACAGCGGTTATAAAGGATGTGATTTAGCTTTTTAAAAAAAATCATTATTCCTATTGATAACAATGTAAAGTAACCGGTTATGTCTTTCAACACCACAAAGGCAGGAGGAGCAGTGAGGAGAGAGACAGAGAAAGACCATTTTACTGTATTCTGTGCACCCTCCGTGTGAATATATACACTTTGTATTCCTGAGTGTTATGGCTCATACATTATTTACCTATTTTATTTTCTGTTTTACAAATGTGAGAAGGAAAACCAAGTCTCTTGCATGTGCCACAAAGAGAGGACTGAGTGTGACATGTAAAACTTAAGCTACCTTGTTTTCTTTTTGGCATCACATGGCATGATGTGTTACCTAAATGAAAGGCTGTGAAAGACTGTGTAGGAAAAATGTTTTGTTTTTTGTTTTAAGACAAATGACATGGTCAACAGAGATTTTTGGTGATCTTGGTGTTAAAGTGAAGTGCACTACTGTGCCGTGCTTTGATGCTGATGGCAAGAATTGCATGCATGCCAATGTTGCCGGTATCTTTATTAAATCACCCTTATTCATGAATCATACATCAGTAATAATCAATAACAGCCTAATTTTACATATGATCTATGATGATAAAGATACAGAAATAGCCTATAAAGCTAAATAACATATTGTCAATATTTTAGACTCAGCCCCCCCACCCAGGGGAGCTCATGTCTCATTATGGGGAGCTGAGCTCTCCTGTAGTGGTTAGCACTACCAAGATGGCACACTGTCGGTCAACATCACTAATTTGTATGTCAAAATTAACTGAAGTTGATCTTGATGCAATAGTTAATGCAGGTTTACCTCCTCTGTCTGAATAAATCCACCATTCTCCCATTGAAATTAATAATTTTGTTGTCAGGTTTCACAATTTAATTGCTGTGTGGAGCCTTAATATGTGTGACCATGGTACTCTTACATTTCCTTGCAATGCTGTATGTAACCACATTTAGTGCATCTTGGGCAACCCTGGTGTGTGTGTGTCCCTCGGTGGGCTTAATCCTTAACACAGCCAATGCATCCAGCTAAAGCTCTGTAGATCCAAGCTTTGTGATTTCAATAGTTACTCTAATTGAACACCTCTTACTGCCAAAAGAGAGAAGGCATAAGCCCAAGTAAGCAAGCCTGCACATCTCAGCATTCATGTGATGCAAATATAGCTGACTGCTGATCATTTTTACCTTTTCTTTCAGAATGCGGGAGAGGGACCTACAGAGCATGTGCAGAAGGGCACTGCTGCTGACTGTCTGTATGGTGTCTCTCTGGGGACAACTGACAAGCGCATCGTCACACAGAAGCCACATAGGTACGGCACTGCATGTGATCATTGTTTGGATTTTTTCTAGAGATTAATTGCTGAACATGGCACTTTCTTTTATTTTTTCATTCATAATGTAGAGAAACACACTCCATGTATTGTTCTGGGCATCTTGCCCAGAACAACTAAAGTCTGCCAGAAGTCACTGAGCAGCTGAGGATTAAAGACGAGTACTAGAATAACTTTATTTATTTTTTTTATATTTTCCCTGATACAGTCATTTCCTGTGGAAGTCTAATATGGCTGATCCAGGAACAGTTTTATTATACTTTTCAAAAATAAAGGGAACCTTTAATGAGGAGAACAGATAACAGCATCAGCCTGTGGCAAACACACCAGCAGGATAGAAATTTCACAGACTAGCATTACGAAGAAAAACAAACAAATACACTTTCTCACATATGCATGCATATGTATTTATAAGTCGGTGACTCACTGACTTTAGCTGTGCTGTGTACTGTCTATTTTCTGTTTGTTAATTTCCCAAGGAAGTTCTTATACACACTCTGTCCTGTTAACTGAGTTTACATTTTAAGTTCTAAAACATAAGACTATACATTTTTACTGACCACATTCTGATTAAATGGTACAACAGTCGCAGTACATCACAGCTGAATATTTTACACCCCAGATCAGTCACACGATCAGTTCAGTTCACCTGACTGACGCTTGAAAAAGAAACTGCTATAATTAGCTGTTTTCTCGGTTTCTTGGCTCTGCATCAAAATAAAAGATGTACTGTAAGGTTTGACTTGTGCACACGGGAATCGAACAGTCAGGAGTCATGTGAGTCAAGCATCACATTGAAGAAAGTGATACTAGTGCAGTACTGTAACTGTGTGCATCTGTGTGTGCATGTGACAGGGGACAAGACCTTTCAAAACAATTTCCCCTAATAGACAGATGGCCTGGTCCCTTGGTGTTATGATGGAAACCATGACTACATATTAAAATAATGAGCCGTATTGCACTGGATGACAAACAGCACACAATGGCTGGAGGGAAATGGCTCCATGTGAGCTGAAAACAAAAACCTGACCAGTAACAAAACTTTAATGGAGTATGTGCTTTGTTTTTTCCTCTATTAATTCAGTGATAGAATTACAGGGCAGACTTTGGGTCATGGGAAGCCACTGAGCAGCTTTGGATAAAACTAATGTTTAATGAGTTGTATGTGGAAGAATTTCATTATTCTTCCATGTTTTGAATTGATCAGCCTGAAGGGGAACCACTCCATTTCATTTTCACTTGCTGTGTCCTAAATGAAATGTACTCAAAACAGCCAGTATGTGGACTAAAAATACTGAACACTGTTCTTCCACAATGTATAAAGGAAGTGTGTGACCTCACCAATGCTCTGGTGGCCGAGTGGGGGACAGTCCCTGCAGCCTGGCTCCAAGATTTTGTGAAAACATTCCTGTGTGATTGAGTTCCACAAGCACATACGCCTATGAGCTCAGGTATCCACATATGTTTGGCCACATTATATTAGCTTTTTGTTTGTTTTTTGGGAGCCACTGCAACACCACATCATTCATGGGGGTTTACGTTTCACCTTCTTCTGTGACAATCTAATCAATGCGTTTCATATTTACTGACTATATTGATGATTGCCGACTAACAGGGGAGTGCTAAATCCCGCTTGTTTGACAGCAAACATGTTGGATAAACCACTTAATCTTCAGGCTTGCATCACTCTCTCTTCAATTTTGAATTTGTCCCACTCTTGTGGTTTGTGCACTTATTCCTGTGATTTATTAGGAGAGAGAGAGAGGGCCAACACAAGTAGCTTGGCCCCACTCTCCCCAGGCTCCACTGACACTGAGGTAATCACGCAGCCTGTCCCTCAGCTACGGAGGTCAAGTCAAGGTGGGACCAATAAACAAACCTCCTTAGCCCCCCTGTTTATTGAGGTGGGGGCAATTGAACCTTTCACCAGAGCCCGACTGCAGCACGCCGAGCTCACAGCACGCACTCACAACCCCTGTAATAAGACCACTGCATCCCCCAGAGCACTATCTACATTCATTAGCTAGTCATGAAAGAGAGGAGAGGGAGAGGAAGGGCAAGAGGAGAGCGGTCTGGAGAGAGCGCGAATGCGATAACAAGTACCTTTCGGCAGTACAATTTGTTTTGGTCCCATCAATAGGATTTAGACTGATGATGTGACCAGGTCAAATGAGAGCCTCATTGCTCAGCTCTTTAGATACTTGGATACTTTTGTTCTTTGCAGTAACTCACTCTGCTTCAATTAACAAACAGTAATCAGGCTCGCTGTGGTTTGTTGGTCAGTGTGAGGGCAAATGCTGGAATGTGCTGGAGAGGAAAACAGGCATGAAGAACACAGTTCCCACAGATGCAGCATCGGAGCAGCTCCCTCATCTTGACACAAACATGCTCTAAGCAGTGCCGTTTATAGGTCATAAACTCTGTTACATTTTTAAATACGAGGATGTAAGGCATGTACACCATGCAGATTATGGATAGCTGCACATATTGGAATCAGAAAGACTTTGGAGCTCAGGTTTACCCTGGGTTTAAATGGCGGCTCTGTTCTATAATCACATGCACACAAGAGGCCGTGCTGCCTTATTAATAAGACGAAACTGTGCACTGGCTCTCATTTGAATTTAGTGGAATATTTTCCTATTTGCTTATGGTAGAGACCTTCTAAAACTGTGTGATGCACTCTAATGGCTCATTCTCAAGCAAAATTTTCCTGCTTCAGGAGCCAATTTTATGTAAATTGGCTCAAACTTTTTTCCTCTTAATTTTTAGTATTTCATTTTAGGAACAACTGATTCTCAAGAGCCCAAATTAATAACTGAATCCAACAGCACTTTGCACTGTCCCAGTCGGATTCAGTTTGGGAAAAAGCTATATTAAGATGTGTCGCATAAATACGACTTGTAAGGTAAATTATGCTTTCTAAACAAATTATAATTCTTTCCCTTGTGCCAGCCTAAAGCAAAAAATAGGCTGTGAAGAGAGCTTTTCATGCCTGATGGGTCTTGAAGAACCAGGCAGGAATATGGTTTAATGTTTAAAGGCATGATTTTTTTTTTTTTAATTTCAAAATAACATAATTTATGCTTCTCCAGATTCAAATAGCACTGGGACAGATTTAGTCATAATGCTGTGAAGAATGATTTTTTTTTTCAGTAAAGAAAGATAGTATTAAAATGAAATTACCAAGTGATTGTAAAAAAATATAGCACAGGGTTCTCTTCATTTTGGTTTTTAACCAATTTCTACTTTCCCTCTTATTCACATTTTCTATGCAACCCCAAAACTGACCAAATATGGTAAAAGACCATGATGTAAATATAATTTAAAAAGTTCAAATGGAGAAAAAAAAGAAATACAAAGCTCTCTTCTGTTGTGGTATTTGATGAAGGTAATTAGAGACATGCATGTGACAGATGATTTGAGTGTTGTCATACCTTTTGGTAGCTATTATCAGTCGTTATCACAACAGGAACTGTGGTAATTAGCGGACCTCTAGTGGACATGATGATTATGACACAAGCTAAGCACTGTAGGTTGGGGTGGGTGGATAGGTCATACAACATCAGTATCAAAGTAGTTCTAGTGCCAAAACCTCAACAAGTAGTTTTTGTGCATAAAGCAGGTATACTTCATGAAGGTCTATGGCATGACAATGACTTATTGAAACTAGTAGGTGGAGTAGGGACCTCTTGAACCATAGCTATGGTCCAACACCAACAAGCTATTGAATGGCATGATAACACCCAAAGATGAAGATGATATTAGGAAGACAGTATGGAAATATCCTTTTTTTAAAATGTTATAATTGTGACCTACCAGTACTGCAGAATAGAATTGGGCTTAAGTTAGCTTTGGTACAATACATCAAAAGGTAATCATTTTTGTCATATTCTACATGGTCCCTTTCATATAAATAAATACACAGAATCATGGTGCCTTTTACCATCCTGGTCCAAGCCAACAGGACCAACAATCATGTTCTTCCTTATTATGTCTCCTCAGGAGCTTTCTTACATGTGTTCTTCCAATTTACTGGCCTGTAAGGAGCCCTTTTATGCAGTATATGCTCTAATGTTTTGTGATAGCATACATCTGCCTAGACAATACCCAACAGGTCAGTGAAGAACCCTTGCCTACAGATAGCATGACATTATACCAAACAGCTCTGGAGCAGGTCAACCCCGCCCTGGGGATGTGCATGGATGTGGCTGTGGAGCATTCCTCCTGACATTTGGAGAGCAGGTGGACAACACAATGGTGGAAGGAGATAACGAGTAGAGGGAGATTGAGATGGAGATGTGGGGCTGTTTGAGATGCACTGTGGGGATGACAGGGGTCAGCTCATCCCATCTCCCTGTGGCAGCCACTGAGATTAGAAAACCATCAAACGTCCTCTGCTATACGCATCTGAATGGCAGCTGTATAGATGAGCCATGAGTGGCTGTGTGTGGCCTTGGTTGTGTCCCCTGTGTGTGTGTGTGTGTGTGTGTGTGTGTGTGTGTGTGTGCATGTGCAGTTGTATAGCCAACAGTGGGGAGCAAGGCACTAGTGTGTGTGCTGAGGGAATGTCAATAGTTTTATTCACATGCTTCTGTGAATAGTGCATCCGAGAACCCAGAAGTGAGTTAGCATTTCTGCATTTCTGTTTGCTTTGTCCCAAAGTCAGTGGGTTTTTGTATGTTTTTGGTTAGGTTCCTGTGGTTAACACAAGGTCAATACGTGTTCATGTTTTCTTCTACAACATAAAATACATCAGTAAATACCCCACTTGTGATTTTTCATGCTTTCACGCATCTGGCTGGAGTCTTCACCAGGATCTTCGACCAGTCTCTGGCCCAGTCCACTGTCCCACCCTGCCTGAAGTCCTCCATCCTGGTTCCCCTACCTAAGAAACCCAACATAACCAGCCTCAGTGACAGTTACACTCACTCCAGTGATGAAGTGTTTTGAGAAACTGGTACGGGGACACATTATGCCAT